TATGTGTTAACAGTCCGATCGCAGGTCACGCGAACTTATGTCCCAATTCTATATCAACGAAACCTCAAGATTTAGAGACTTTGTTATCAACCGTTAAACATGAGATTCTTCACGCACTCGGCTTTTCGGTCTCTCTTTACGCGTATTTTCGCGACAAAAACGGCGAACCATTGAGTTCTCGAGGAAGGAATGGAAAGCCCATCATTAGCCGACACCTGAAGGCTCCGCAATGGAGCGATAATATAATCAAACAAATTGACAGAAATGATTGGAAAGTGCGAAACGGTTCAGTCAAGCGCTCTATACATATGATAGTGACTCCCAATGTTGTGGTCAGATATTGATCTCAAACTCTTTGATTAAATATTTGTCAAACAAGTGATTATTACTACAGAAAGAAGTTCGAAGACATTTCAATTGTACAGAACTGGAGGGCGCAGAGCTCGAGGATCAGGGAGAGGATGGCACTCATCTCACACATTGGGAAAAGAGAGTGTTTGAAGTATGCAATCAATGCAATCCTATGTATTGCTGTTTTTAAACGGGATTAATTAATTGACAGAATGAAGCCATGACTGGAACTCATACGCAAAATCCTGTTTATTCGCGGATCACTTTGGCTCTGATGGAAGACACGGGGTATTGATTTGAATGCTGTTTATGTTATGGTAAGTTTGAATAAGTGATTGTTTGATTTGATGCAAAGCTGGTACACTCCTAACTACGAGTTGGCACAACCACTGGATTGGGGCAAAAACCTTGGCTGCGATTTCGCCCAAAAGAGTTGCAAACATTGGATCGATTGGAGGCGTTCCAGAGGAGAGAGTATGTCGGGAATGAAATCTTTGCAAAAACGCATAAAACTTTTCAAATCATTTTTACTGATGGAACCGATTGGGTTCAGATCAGCCGAAGAGCAGTCATATTTGGTGAGATAGCCGACCAAAGCCTCGTCAACATTACCCGTCGCTAAGACCAGTCGTTTTCCTTCACTCATATAATATGTCAAAACCATTCTGAGTCTCGCCTGAAGATTCTGCTTCTGAAGAGTCACTACTTTGTCGTCGACTTTAGTCTCTGTGGGAACAGTACTTCCAACCAATTGGTAAATATCGTCAAAGTTATGGGCAAAGAAGCGCGAGTTTACACTCTGTGCCAAACACTTGGCCCTATCGTGACTGTCATGACCTGAATATCTTGTCGACAAATAAACACATTTCAAGAGTTTATGGCAAATATCTTTCGGTGAATGGATTTTATCGATAATATCTGGATCTTTGAATAGTATTTTTAAATAATCGATAATTTGCTGGTTTTTGTAATTGATTTGTTCGTAAAGTAAAGTACAGAGAGAATAGACAAGACATACGACAGAACCGGAATCTAATCCACCACTTAGTGGCACAATAAAGCCCTCGAGTCCTCGTTTGATGCAACGCCTCAAGTAATCCCAGAGCCAAAGGGAACAGAAGAGCATTATCTCCTGTTCTGGGCTTAGATTCAAATGGTTTGCAGAAATGGATTTCTGAACAGTGTTTGACGTTTTCAATAAATTAAATTGATTCACATTAATGGTCACGATTTGCTGTATATCTAAATCAAGACTATTATAATTGTTTCCTTTCGAGGCGTCAAAAAGCAAATTATTTCCCATTGTTTTGTGTGTTTGAGTTCTGATGTTATTCTGGAGCCGGAATTGCGTGACATCGTTGGGATCGATGTATGCGATCGCTATTTGAATCTCATTAAACATGGTTTCCCTATCGCTAGTCATAGTGAGTAGATCTCCATTCATGACGACAACACTTCGGCCGTAATAGCAAAGCCTTCCGCCGCCATCGCAGCCGATGAGGTTCGCGAAGGCATAGACTCCGCCCGACTTGAATGTCGCGCATTTCATCAAATCCAACACTCGATGCAGTTTTCGGATCTCCCAATAAGAGGCCGAACTGTTAAGAATCAAATGACAGCCTCTTTGCCCAAACAGTTTGATATGCTGTGCGTCTGAATGCCATAACTCTTCGCAAATTTCAAACCCTATTCTGAAGGCAGAGGCGCTAACCATTGAGTGCGAATCGAGTGAGAACTCGAGCACCGCTTTATCGCCAAACGGAGCCCTCGTTTGGCCGTTAAGTGCGGTTATAAGAGGTGGCAATGAATACCAGGCCATCAGACCCTCGGAACCGTCGCCCCAAGCGGTAAACCATCGACTTTCCCGATAGTTTCCGTTCATCGCTAGCCTTGTTTTCGGACGAATCAAAACGATTTGAGAGTTGAGTACAAGAATACGGCAGTTATAAAGAGCAGAATCCTTGAGAACAGGCATCCCTTAAATCCAATTCATTTTGAGTCAATATATTTCAAGTTTAAATAAAGTAAAAACTTATTAAAAGTTTATTAACCGATATCTATGAGAATGTCCTTAAAGTCGTGTTCAATGATTTGTGCCAACACTTGCCACGAATGATAAGTGGTGTCCATCTCATAGAAAGCGTCTTCACAGCCATAACCGGGTATTTCGAGTTCGGGTCCGACTCTAACAGAAGCGCCCAAATCTATGGCCTCTTTAATACTTTGGATAATTCTCTTTGAATTCCCGTCAAAATCAAGTGATAATTGATTGAGAGAACAAACAGCGACTCCGATCCGAGACATCATTTTTCTGGGCTTTGTTTTAATTAAAACAAAATTAAAAGTTTAAATACTATTGTGTTTTAACACATTTAAATACTTATGACTCTAAACGTAATAATTTTTGGACTTTTTATCGAATTTTTATCTAATCTTAAGACTAAAACAAACTAATTATCTGTGATTTGAAGTGAGAACTAATATTTGATTTAATTTTTGTACTAAAATATTGTTAAAAGGCTTTTAATTTAAATAATAATAGATTTGGGTTACAAACGAAAGCATAGATTTTATCAATCATTCAAATTGTATTCAAAATAAGTTGTAATTGTATTAAAAGTTAAGAGAAGTGTTGTTCTAATCACAAAATAACCCTAAATTAGACTCTCGATTAAAATTAGACTTTCAATTTCTTCAATTCCCTTCCCGTCATTTCCCGATCGATGAAAAAAGAATTTTAGATTCAAATCTAACTAAATGATGAAGTAAATGAACTTTACATTAAATAACCATAAATAAGATCTCACTGTTTAAAATACTTAATTTCCAGGAAAAAGAAATTTTTTAATAAATTCAATCAAAATCGCAAAGAATTATCATTTTTCCATAAATCCAATTCATGAATGCCTATACTTTATAGGCTATAATATACTCGTTTTGTCACATATTATCCTTAAATAATTGATTCTTCGAGAAGTTCATATAAAATTAATTAATTAAAACACCAGGAATTATATACTATTAGATTTATAGTTAAATTAATACTAAACTAAAGATCAGTTTTATTTTCCCGATTTTGACAAAACTTTCTGAAAATAATATTTTTGTGTAAAATATTCTAAAAATAGTTTATTCAATAAAACTAATAAAAACTAACAATTTAGTTTTTTATAATAATTAAATAATAACAATAATTAAAATTGTTAATTCATTGCTAAAGAATTATTATATGAATACACATAAACTGTAAGAAAAGCTCTCTTTGCCCGATATAAGAATTGACGTGAAAATTATTACAATTGAAACGTCTTCATTCAATTTAAGAATATTTTCACGCATAGAAGACATTCAAATACAGATAACATAGAAGAATATTCTTACAATATTTGAAAATATTGCAATATTTGGCAATACCAATACAATATTGTGAGTCGTACTCTGCGACAATACCGAAACAATACCAATATCCAAAATTCAAGTTTTTCAATCACTATTTTCAAATCAATTCCTTATAATAATATTCTTTTGGATATTTGCTATCAATTTATCCAATATTCAAATCATAAGCATTTAAAACAATAGTTCATGCAATTGTTATATACATTTTATTTAAAGAGGTAATTATTAAACGTCATTATTAATGAGTCACGACTCATTAACATATTAATTTATCATGTTACGCCAACCTTGGTCATTTTAATTCTACTGTTATTCTAGTAATATTTTTAAAATTAGAAATATTAAAAACCATTAGAAGTTTTATTTCGCGAAATATTGGCATAATATAAGATAAAATTAATTCAATTTAAAATAAATTAAATCAACAATCGATTGATTGAAATAGACTTCAAGTGATAATTGCATACAAAAAGTTGTGCAAAAAACACAAACAAATAAAATAACAATTATTTGTTAGGAAGTGAAGTGTTTTATGGACTTTAATCCAACACTTGATTCAAGTCAAGTCAGATAACACTTACCACTTATACTTGCAATGCAATCGCAACGATAGGAACAATGCAATACTGCAACCATGTAACAATTAACCAGGTCAATTCTATGGTCACTCTCTGTCACTGTAACCTATGCTGTACTTTATATTAGTAACCAGGATATGACTGTGCCTTAGATATAAGGTTATGCTATTTAACCATTAATTATATATTTATATTGAAAATTACATTCATTTCAATTGAGTTCTGTCTCAACAATCATACCATTTGATTGTCAGAGAGTCCACAAAATTGTATCCGTTTTTGTCTTATATCGCATCCAATGTTAAACTAGTGGTAAATCCATTGTATCATTGGATGGACAAAGTTTTTAATGTAAAAATCTAATTAAAATTAAAGTGTAATTTATAGTGAATTGAATGGTTTGAATGCTTACACCCTTTTGGGACTCAATGTTGTGTTCAGTCATGCAATGTATGGATCGAAACGTTATTAATGTCTCGTTTGTTGACATGAATTGTGTGTTTGAATGATATGTCAAAACACGAGTGAATTGTTTGTAAACATTATATTAATTATGAATTTATAGTTAAATGAAATGTTATGTAAATTAATGTTATTATGGATTGTGTGGCAAGAGTTGGACGCAACACAACACCACCACAACCAACACAACCACCCCTACCATCACCTCCAACCACGACAACCACCACATCCATCACAACCACACCATCAGCCCTGTGCTCACGTCCCGCCATCACCTCATCAGGTCTTACCATAGATTCACACATATTATCATCACTTTTCTAACACCTCTTTAGATATTCATTGTCTGTAATGTTAGGTCTATTGTAGTGACCACTCGTGCCATAGGTTTTACACCAATGATTGTCGCCATTAGTTGCCATCCATTGATACCCCAATTGTAACCATTGATTGTATTTATAGGTAAATCACATTCATTTGGAGGACAAACATGTGATACAAAAGCGAAGTGCAGACCAATCGCTGAGGATTAGAGTCTTCTATGATTCCAGTGTTAAGCGGATCCCAATCGAAAAATTTCAGATAATTAATGTAAGAAATGAATGACAATTAAAGTGATATGTAATTGGTATGACATATGATATGTGCAGAACTCAGTCCTACCTCAAGCCCTCGACTACTGGCAAAAGGCATTACACGTCAAACCACTTCACGTTCCCATTCGTCTCAATCGGTACACAAAAACTTTCATTTCAATTATAGCCTAAAACTCATGTCTTATATGACAACACCCGACAGCAAGTGTCCCAACAATCAGGCGTTTTTCCCCAACACTGATCCGCCCCATCAGTACTGCGTTGAGAAATGCGAAAACATTACCACTTGTGGCGAAGTGATTGTTCCCGAAGACCACTTAGAGGTTTGCACACAAAGAGCTATAATTAGTACAAATAATACTGAAATACGTTATGAATAGATATGTCGTGTCTGTGATGTGAACGGAAGGAACTGTCAGTTATATAAGTCGGACAACGATTGGTCGCAAATGGGGAAAGGCATCAAAGACGCGGACTTTGTGTTTTACGTGAGTGCTATGCAAACTGAACGCTGCAATAAAGGCCATACCGTTGCCTATGCGGCCCATTGCCAACAGGAGGCCGCACTCGACCGGTATATTCATTGCTTTCTCATTAGACACCACTAATAATACGCTAACCAATGATATACTGTATGTGTTAACAGTCCGATCGCAGGTCACGCGAACTTATGTCCCAATTCTATATCAACGAAACCTCAAGATTTAGAGACTTTGTTATCAACCGTTAAACATGAGATTCTTCACGCACTCGGCTTTTCTGTCTCTCTTTACGCGTATTTTCGCGACAAAAACGGCGAACCATTGAGTTCTCGAGGAAGGAATGGAAAGCCCATCATTAGCCGACACCTGAAGGCTCCGCAATGGAGTGATAATATAATCAAACAAATAGACAGAAATGATTGGAAAGTGCGAAACGGTTCAGTCAAGCGCTCTATACATATGATAGTGACTCCCAATGTTGTGGTCAGATATTGATCTCAAACTCTTTGATAAAATATTTGTCAAACAAGTGATTATTACTACAGAAAGAAGTTCGAAGACATTTCAATTGTACAGAACTGGAGGGCGCAGAGCTCGAGGATCAGGGAGAGGATGGCACTCATCTGACACATTGGGAGAAGAGAGTGTTTGAAGTATGCAATCAATGCAATCCTATGTATTGATGTTTCTAAAAGGGATTAATTAATTGACAGAATGAAGCCATGACTGGAACTCATACGCAAAATCCTGTTTATTCGCGGATCACTTTGGCTCTGATGGAAGACACGGGGTATTGATTTGAATGATGTTTATGTTATGGTAAGTTTGAATAAGTGATTGTTTGATTTGACGCAAAGCTGGTACACTCCTAACTACGAGTTGGCACAACCACTGGATTGGGGCAAAAACCTTGGCTGCGATTTCGCCCAAAAGAGTTGCAAACATTGGATCGATTGGAGGCGTTCCAGAGGAGAGAGTATTCACCCATTTTGTGATAAAGTGAAAAGAGATCCGTTGGAAACCGAATGCACTGATAATAGAGATGCGGTCGCGTTGTGTAATCTTATGGAATATTCATCGGATTTAATGCCAAAGTATCAGAACTTTGATTACATTCCAAGTGTGAAGAACAGTAACGACACGGCCAGGTATGGAGGGTCTGTCAATTTGGCCGACTTTTGTCCATACATTCAAGAGTTTACGTGGAAATTGAATGATATTGTCGTTCGCGGATCCAAATGTCAATACGAGGAGAATAATCCCATTCCAGAGAAGAATTTTGCGTTAGAGTATTACGGGTCGGACTCCAAGTGCTTCAATCATAACAGTCAGATGTGGGAAGAGAGGACTTGCACTCAAGTCAGGCAATGGCAACACTGGGGAAGTGGTTGTTATAAAGTAAGCCTAATTGTAGCCATCAATCAGTTTTGAATTGTCTATTAATACAATTGTATTGCATATTAGTATCGATGTAATGAAGGACTCTTGCATTTGGAGATTAGAAACCAAAGCTATACTTGTTTTTACGCCAATCAGGAACTCAAAGTACAACTCTATGCAAATGATTGGCTACATATCGGCACTATTGTCTGTCCTCCTTGTAGTCAAATATGTCAGGTAAGCATCGATACAATTGTTAATTAATACAATAACTGTTATAATGAAATCATATGTTTGCCATTAGGACTGTAAGCCAGAGCTGACCACTAATGATATTCGGACGGCAGACAAGCATAAGACAACTTATAAGAAACATTTCCTCAAGTGTTACAGTCATCCAAAAACGCCAAAAGCTTTATCTGTGATTTGTTTCATAATTTTAAACCATTTAATCCGTTATGTCTATCAAAGCTGACCAACGATTTGATTGAATTGAGTTTTCTATAATTTATATCATTGTATATATAATATATTCAACCGTATATTAGGAATAAGTTAAATGATTTGTTGATTCCATTGTTTAGATAATCAAAAACGATATTTTAATACCGGTTTAATTGCACTTTAAATTTGATTACGTTTATTGAGTTTCTTTTAAAATCCTATTATTATATAAAAAGTGATATTTTTAATTTAAATTATACTTAACTTTATTTATAAACATTATTCATATCTAATTTTATACATATATTATAAATATATATTTAGTTGTAATTAAGATTAAAAAAACCTATTATTATATAAAAAGTGATATTTTTAATTTAAATTATACTTAACTTTATTTATAAACATTATTCATATCTAATTTTATACATATATTATAAATATATATTTAGTTGTAATTAAGATTAAAAAAATAAAAGCAAAATGTGTTAAATGATAAAAAGTCAGAACAAAGTACTGATCTTTCTGTGTTTCAATTGTTGCGCTGAGTCGGTGTCCGTATCGGTTCCCAACTGGTAGTCCGGTTCCGAGACGTACTCGTCTTCATCTTCAGAGATGTCCTCGAATTGACTTAAATTCAATTGATTACTATTCGGAACCTTTAGTTTGCAGACTCTCTCAGCCAAGTCTGTGAACGTGGCGTGACTTTGGGACCCAATACCCGACAAGTTGTTCACTTTTGAGCGCTCCTTATGTAAGAGCGAATGCAATGACTTTTGTTGCCCCAAACGCATGGCAGCGAACATCACTTTCCCGTGATTTAATCCCACTTCCATTATGTCGTCAAAACTGCCAAATTGTAAAGTCTTGTAGCGATCAATAGGCGGCCGAATGTATGTGCAGTAATCGCTTT